ACATGATATCAATTGTTGTCCTCTAAGTACAATCTTCGTCATCCCCCGACACTACTCCCCTCTGATACCCAATTTTGGAAGATACTTTGGAGAATTCCGGTGCCACCGAAACTAAAGTTCTTTCTTTGGAGGGCTGTCCTAGGTTTTTTGCCTATAACACTTGTAACTGATGCGACCTGCCCCATTTGTTCAGAGGAGTCAGAGTCTTTCACCCATTTTTTCTTTTCTTGCAGGGTAGTGACAGGATTATGGAGGGCTACGAACCTTGAAGACAGAGCCAACATCCTTGGTGGAATGCTCCCGGATGACGCATAGACTTATCTATTCTTCTCTATGAACTTGTCTAAAGTTGAATTAGCTGATGTTGTGTTCATTATGTGGCGAATATGGAAGAGCAGGTGATGGACAGTACATGAGCACATCCAATATCTTCCCCAAGCTTTATATCATCAATTCCAGAGACAAGTGGAGGAGTGGAGAGCACCAATACAAGCTCCATCAAATGAGCTTCCAAGAAATAATACACATCCCGCCAGGGGTTCTACCCGTAATAATGGAAATGGTAATCATGGATCTACAACTACCTCCTCGAACACAATCAATGTATGGTTAGATGGTGCAGTCAAGCGCGGCTAAGGAGGGAGTATTGGATTTGTGGGATTTCAAGCGACAGATAATGTTCTCTTGGCATTTGGAAAATATTACGAGGGAATACAAGATTCATTTGTTATGGAAAGTTTAGTATTGAGAGACGCTATACAATGGTGTTTAACTCACTCCTTTCTCTCTGTCAATTTTCATGGGACTCACAACAATTGATACGACGGATGGTGGGAGGTGATTTGGCGCATGATCGGGGTGGAGCTATACTGTAAGATATCCGGAGCATGTCTTCTGACTTTAGCAGGGTTTCTTTATGTTTTGTGTCCCGTCGGATTAATAGGGCTGCCTATCATGTGACACAAAATGCCCTTTCATCGGAAGTTCGACTATTGGTCGACACCCGCACTCTTCTTATTTCCTCTGTATGATTGACTATATAAACAGTCATTACAAACAGACCATCATACAGTATCACATGATGCCTCACTACTCCTTAGCAGGACTGAGTAATAACGAAATAAAAACACTACATCAAGATTACATGAACCGAAGTTTCTTCCTCTCTACTGCTAAACTTAACTGCAGATTACCCACCATCAGGTCCTCCATTGTAGTCCTCAGTTTGGTGATGAAACCTGCTGCATTGAGAGACTTCTTTCCATACGCCCTGCAACATCTCTCCCGACAAACCTCACTAACCATCAAATTTCAAAGTAATCTGCCAACACAACATCCCTGCAACTTCCTTACTGCCTCCTGCAATCCAGCCTCCCATCCTTCTCGAGGATGATATCCCAAGTTTGATGGAAAGATAGTTCTGACCACCTCCTGCACATATGGACACTCAAAATAGATGTGATCCCTGGACTCTTCATGCCCCAAACATAACGGACATGTGTTTACTACCTCTGGCTGCCATCTTTGTATTTTGTCGAAAGTAGATATTCTGTTAAGAGTGATAAGCCAAGTGATTAGGGAGTTCTTAGGTATGAGGATTGGCCTCCAATTCAGCTTAGACCATGCCTTCTCTTCTTGCTTAGGTCTGAACTGCTCCCATACAAGTTTGATACTATATTTAACCATCAACTTCCCTTCCCAGCATACCCCAGCTCTTGTCTTAACTAGGCGTCCATGAATTGGACTCCTTATTTCAGAACTTTATTCCACAACCAAGCTCCTAGAGTATTCGTTTCCCAGATGCTAACATTCCTTAAACTGTATTCCTTCAGCCAGGCTATCTGCATGGTTTCCTGATTAGATAAGACATTCCAGAGACGTCTTACTAGGCAAGCTTTATTCCAGCTATGCAGATCCTTGAACCCTAGCCCCCCCTCCTTTTTTGGCAAGGCCACTATTTTCCATGTTACTTTAGCTTTTCCTGATTCTAATCCCCGTAGAAAAGCAGAACACCTCCTCTCAATTTCTTTGAGTACCTTCTTGGGCAGTTGGAAGACCATCATCCAGAATTGTGCTATGCTAGCTAATACTGAAGTCGCTAGCTGAAACTTCCCTGCATAAGAAAGGGTTAGAGCTTGCCATCCAGTATTTCTTTTCAAAATTCTATCTACTAGAGCTTTACAGTCACCAGCCTTCAAATTCCCAGCTATCATCGGAACTCCAAGATATCTAACAGGTAATCTGCCTTCCTGGAACCCTGAGTGGTTTATAAGTTCTGCTTAAACTCCTCTTCTACCCCAACACAAAACAACTCACATTTTTGTGGATTACACTTAAGCCCCGAGATCCAGTAGAAATGCTTTAGTACTTCAGCTACTCCCCTCACCCCTTCCACCGAACCTTTCGTGAAAATCAAAAGATCATCTGCAAAACACAGATGGGAAAGCCCTATCTTCTGGCAAGGAGGGTGGAATGTCAGGATCTTCATTTTAGTTGCTCTAGTCAACATACAACTGAGTATTTCCATTGATATTACAAACAGATAGAGGGACAAGCGATCCCCTTGTCTTAACCCTTTCTTCGCTTGGAAGTAACCTGTTAACCCCCCATTGACACATATAATGAAAGTAGCAGACTCCAGTCAGGTTTTGATCCAACTAATAAACTGTAATGGAAACCCCATAGCTTCTAACACAGTGAGCAAAAATTCCAAATCAACACTGTCAAAAGCTTTCATTATATCCAACTTTATAGCACATCTAGGTGACACATTCTTCCTTCTATACCCTTTAACCAGTTCATGAGCGAGAATGATATTATCACTGATCATCCTGCCCTTAATGAAAGCTGACTGGTTTTTGCTAATTATCAAAGGTAGTACTTCTCTAAGCCTATTGGCTATCACTTTTGACATACACTTGTATAGAAAATTGCAACATGAAATAGGCCTATATTTCTTAAGAGAATATGCATTTGGGACTTTAGGAATTAAGGTAAGGATTGTACCATTTACTTCTTTCAGCAGTCTACCCGAAATAAAGAAGTCCTTCACAACTTCTGTGACCAGCTCACCAACCAGTGTCCAGTTATGTTTGAAAATTATGTTGTAAACCCATCAGGCCCATGGGCTTTATCCCTAGGCATACCGAAAACTACATCCTTGACTTCTTCAGACGAGACCGGATCACAGAGACCTGTGACCTCAGAAGGAAGATGATGGATAAGCAGCTTCTTGATCATATTGATGTGATACTTTCTGACCTCTTCATCTACCACACCCAACAGTTTCTTGTAAAACTTTATGGCTTCCTCCCTAATTTCCTCCACATCAGTAAGTGTCTGCCCTGCCTCAGTGACCAACTGCCTAATACTGTTCATGTTATTTCTTACGTTCACAGAATCATGAAAAAACCTTGAATTCGTGTCCCCTTCTGCTAACCATGATTGTCTTGACTTTTGTCTAAGAAAACTTTCCTCATCCTTCTGCAATTGAAGAAGCTGGACCTTACACTCCTGCTCTCTTATAAAAGAGGTTGGAGTAGGACGCTCCAAGTCTTCAATTTGTGCTGCAGCCAGAGATGCATTAGCTATAAGTACTCTCTCGTGTATATTGGAGTGGTGGACTCTTTTTAGCTTTTTCAGTCTAGTCTTCACTTGCTTTAGTTTTTGATACAGTCTAAACATTGCACAACCCCTAGCTGGAGCATCCCAACCTTCCTTTACTAACCTTTCATACTCCAGATGATTTCTCCAGAAGCTAAAATACTTAAATGGCCTCGGTAGGGTTTTTGTCTGTGTCTGTATGAATGAGAATACCACAGTGATAAGAAAAGCTCTGGTGGAAGGATCTTTACTGCACTTCTGGGAAATTTACTCAGCCAATTAGTATTCATCATTGCCCTATCCAACCTCTTTGCCAAAGGGTTGGCAGCCTGTTTATTAGACCAAGTGAACCAAGGTCCATCCATCCTGTGATCTTCCAATTGCATGTCTGTTATCCATTTCCCAAAGTCAAAAGCACTCTCCCCTAAATCAACCTCTCTCGAGGCTTCCTGACTACTAACTATAGCATTAAAATCACCCACTATCATCCATGGCTTATTCTTGTCAACCACGCTTCTCAACTTGTTGTACAAGTCTAATCATTCCTTCACTTCGTTAGAGCAGTAAACCAGGGTTACCTGCATCCCCTCTTCCCCCTATACCTCACCATGACCAAACTGATCCCCACTATCCAGAACAGAGAACCCTAATTTAGGTCTCCATAGGATCCACATTCCGCCACATGAGCTGCAGAATAAATGTCTTCAATTTGCCAGTCAGGAAACCACTTCTTTTTTATAGCTTGCATTTTCTCTTTTTTTACTCTTGTTTCTAGAATTGCCACTAAATCCACCTTATACTTCTTAACCATCTCTACTAACTCTTCCTGCTTATCAGGACTATTAAAGCCCCTCATATTCCATGACAGGACTATCATTTACTATTCTTATTGTTTTTTGAAGGTCTCCCGACCTTCTTCTTACCACCCTTCTGATGTACCATACTTTCTTGCAATTCAGGGAAATCCTTGTTGTTCTTCAAGGGAGAGACAACTAGTGACCCAATCTCAAACTGATCCAGGGAGGATAAGACCGCAAAAGAGTTTGATGATGAAGCAGCCAGGGTTTGATCAGCAACTACTGCCTGGAAGTCAGACTCAGATGGAAGAATCACATTAGAGGATTTCCACTTCTCAGCATCAACATTTAAACTTGTGACAAGATTATCTACTGCCAACTGAAGACCTCTACCCTCTTCTATCACCTCTGCCACTAGAGCATTGACTTGCAAACTAGTCACCAATGCCTCCTGAACACTCTCAACCCCTGAAACACCCTCTGAAACCACTTCCATAGTAGTATGAACACTCTGTTCCTTCTCTCCTGCTTGTCAGAATTCACCATCTGTTCAGTAGTGACCCCTTCCGAGTAGTCATGCCTGAACCGATGACATTTCTTTCAAGCCACCGACATGTTATAATATTCCAACTGGACATGAAAAGCAGGCCTTCGATCTGGGACAAGCTTCAATGACTCCGGGAACTCAGTTTCCAATCCAACCTCAACACAGACCTTGGGATAGCCCAACCGTTGGCCTAGCCGAGTTGATTTTTCAAACCACAAGGGTCTTCCTATCATACTAGCCAGATGGGTAAGAATTCTATCAGTGACATTCTCCAGTGGTAAATCGATGAACTTAACCCACAATGGAATCATTAGCTTGGGACTCTTTGCCCTAATCCCTGGTTCCCATTTTCGCAGATAGCACATGTCATTGTGGAGGTGCCAAGGGCCACTCGTGAATACCCAATGCACTACCTGTTCAGTTGGGAACTGGAAAAGCTGCAAGAGGAGCCCTAGCCAAGAAACCCTAATTGAACCCTTCTTTCCCCACAACAGATTCGCCCATGACTGTTTTTTTTATATGAGGTGAGGATGAAAGAAATTAACCTACCAGACAATGTTGCCAACGAGCAATTCCTTAATCTTCAAGCTCTGCCGGTATGCGAAGCCCTCCGTCCATGATTTCAGGCTCGATGTAGACCAAACAATTCTCCTCCACGATTCCGAAGAGATCCGCCCAGGAGCGTTCCCCCGCCATGAGTAGCAAGGAAAGAGCGAGAGACAAAGAAGAAGAAAGCCACAGATGTCTGGGGACGAGGAGTGCCCACCGAAGAGAGGGTCGCCGCAGTCGAGGAGCGCGCGAAAGCGGGAAACTGTTCCAATCCAATTGGGGTTAGTTGGGTATGAATTCCAAATAGATGGTAAATGGGTCCACTTTTTCCTTGTTCTTTGCTTGAACGATGAATGTTTATGATTGTATTTGAATGACTCAAAAATTACTATGATTATGTATACTAGTAAAAATATAAAAACAATATGTACCAATTTTCAGTATAAATGACAAACTGATGGTGGCTATTATCTTCTTTAGTACCATGGCAACTGCAATTGGGTGGTGAGTAGATAAAAAGAGCAGCGACAATCACAACATGCATGAAAGAAAGAATGCATTGACTCGTTTCTGACTCTAAGGCAAAATGTTGTATTGTGACCCTCTTTCGAATACTATTATGGAAACTGAATCAAATATAGTATGGTACATGTCAAATTACATTTAGATTATTAAATATTAAATTGTTACCCTATAAAATGATGACTTAAATCATGAGACTCTGAGCCGATTAATAAATTTCAAACCATTTGTTTGAATGGTTCAATGACTTAAACCGGTCCTTGATTGGAACCATATACTCACGATTCGTAGATATAACCTTGATGATGTGTCAATTGTGCCTTGAATTCGGATAAACAAATTTATCCATAGATCAAATATCTTCAGTGAGAAATTTAATAATATACTATAGGGTCAATAAGCATTGGTTGAGAGTTATTCATAACTTCGAGAATAATGCTAACATATACAACATAAGTTAATAGATTTGAGTATTTTGGTTGAAAAATTGAGACATAAAGTCTTACATCGAGAGTTGACAAACCTCCACGTTCGGAATGAGTCAACATTAGATCATTTAACAATCATGATATATGTCGGAAATTTTCAACGTAGGTCTATGGGAGAAATAACAAACTATCAATAATTAGTGATTGAACATCTTAGCTTATAAATACATATTTTTATGAAATTATCAAAATAATTTATTAATTGTTGATTATGAATATTTAATAGTAGGATGTTACGACAAAACAAACTATTTCGGAGATTGAAAATAGTAAGAAAAAAGATAAAGTTGATTTTACATAAAACATAATTGGTCTCACCAATAGGTGGTTTTAAGTATTGAAGAAATATTTTCCGAAGAGTATTGAAAGCAAGGGAAGAAGGAAGAGGCAATTGAGAATACAAATAAATGTATCACTAATATAGAGGAATAGGCAATTGTTGAATGATTTAATAATTTTGATTTTCTTATTTTACCAATTAATTTGAAAGTTTCAAGTATATGAATAATTTTTAGATTTTATTATACTACCAAAAAATGTGTATCTCGCATTTAAACTGCTACTATTGTTTATGTGATTGCGACTGAATCCGACCAATTGGTCGGGCTTGTGACTAGTAAATTAATAATTCGGTTACAGGTAGAGCTAGGGGTTCGGTGATTTCTCTAAGTAGGGGTGTGCAACGGTTCGGTTCGGTGAGACTCATGAGAACCGTGATCCATTATTATAAGACATTTAGGATCATGGACTGGACCATCATTGGATTCGGTCCATTTGGTCCGGTCCAAATATCAGTTAAGTTTATAATTTCTTTAGTATTTTAAAATTCATGGGATCAAGGACAGGACCACATTATACTCGATCCGATGTGTTCTGGTCCAAACTTCGGTTTGGTCTGGTATGATGCGGTACTGACCATACCATTGCACACCCCTTTTTTACAGTAATTTGCGTTAAACATTATTAATCAGAAGAAACTGTTACATTGTCCAATCTAAATTGATCTAGCAGACTCATAGGAGGTCGGTCGAACCAGACCTTAGCCTCATCCCATCTCAATCTTCTTATGCACCATGATATGTGCCGCTTCATTAACTATCCGAATTACATTCCTACAACTCCCTCCACCCGGTCTCTCCCAAAAGACGTTTGATGTTCTTGCAAATTACATCAAGCTCTGTATGATGACCTGTAACCAGACCCGAAACCGAATGGGTTGGGTCAATATTTGACCCAAAATCAGCGAAGCAAACATGACCCGACCCGTAACCGAAGTTTACAACTCAAAATTACCCAACCCGACCCGATTACCAGGTCTAAATCTAAGAGAGAACCAAAATTTAAAGGAACATAACAACAGCAGAGTACCACGAAAACCAAAACTAGCTCTCAATGATTAAAATGCTTGATGATGACAAGGCTTCCAGAGAAACAAGCATTAGATCATCTGTCATTGACGTCCCTAGTGGGCGCTTGGCATTCGAGTACCATCACCATTTTAGAGTCGATGGCTCCATTGTTTTGGTTGGTTTTGAGGCAAGGAAGTCTTCAATGCCCTTCAAGGTGATTGATGTTGTTTGGGTTTTTTCAGAATTGACGAAGTTCCTCCAAATCGAGCGTGTTCTTGTTATGTTTGATTGGAATTCCCTTTTGTCTCTGCAGCGTTGGTGTTTTGGCTGGCTTTTTTTTTTATAGTGCTCACGAACAGACGAAGAAGAGGGAGACATGTTGGGGTTGATCGAGGTGTAACCTCAATTATGTGCATCATTGTGTTATTGGGGCCGATGATGAGTTGAGTCCGATTTGCACTTGCCTGGGCTTGACCAACTTGTTGGGCTAAGGGCATGACACTACCGAGTTTGGTCCAGATGTCCTCCATTACTGCGAGAAATGTTTCGTTGTCATTGTTGAGTAATCAATTGCAACAACTTTACCTTTAATGTTGGACGAGTTTCCCTTTCTTCTTTCAATCAAATCCTCTTTCCCTCTATTTTCCACTAGTCTCTGCCCAACCCCGTCTTTACTTGCCTTGTTGAACATTGGAATTGCCATTACTGCTTTACCATTGGATTCACCTACAATTGAGGATTTCGATGGGGATTTGCCGTAATTCTCGACCGTTGATATTTGATTTCTATGTTAGGAGGCGTGATTTGTGGAGGATTTCCTGTTAGGTTTTCTTGATTTTCTCGTCACCTGCATCCATGGGCCAAAGTTGGCAAGTGGTACCAACGGGGAGTGGGTCACCGATGAGACCTGGGATGTATCGGACATTGACTTCGTCACCTTTTGTTGGTTCTGCAACATCTCATTGGGCATGAGTTCTGGTCGAAAGGAGCAAAGGAAAGGTGTTTGCAAAGAGCATTTTCAGTTGCTTTGGGAGTTCTTTAATTTCCCCTTAATCCAACGTGATTAAATTATTCACGTTTTGCAATGGAATTATCAATATTTAATAATTAATAATATATTTTTATCGTTATTAATTTTTAAAATACTAATCAATGCTTTAAGATTATATTATTTAATTTTTTAGATCAATTGTTAACGATTTACATTTTTGTCATCAACACTTATGAATGAATTATTGAAGTTATGCAACATCAACATTAATAATTAGAATAACACTAATGATTCAAATTGGACAATTATTGCCTTTTACAATGACTTCCAATTACATTAATTTGAAATCAATTATTATTGACATATCAATCATTATTAATGATTTCAATATACTTTTGAATGCTTTAATATTTTGGGTGTGCCTACGGTGACATGCATGTCACGGTGACTTGCACTTTTCGGTCGACCTCAGTTAGGATTAGGTCGACCTCATTTAGAATTCGGTCGACCTCAGTTAGGATTAGGTCGACCTCATTTAGCATTCGGTCGCCCTCATATAGGATCAGGTCGACCTAATCTGTTGTTTCAGTGTAAAAACAGTTCATGGTGCCTACTTTGGACATTCATATCATACAATTGGCTAGATGGAAATTGAAGACTAATGACTTGTTTTGAAGCTGGAGTGCCCCTCTACATATTGATGTGAAAGAGAGCTCGATAGGAAGTCCAGAAGACCATTTTTGAACCTCATCAAAAGGCTATGCCAAAACTGGGAAACTGCCTGGAAATGGCTAAGTCTGGAAACGTGTTTGTGAAGCCTATTTTGGACCTCAATTCGAGAAGCATGAATGCGAGTCGAGTCCAGGAGCCTCTACCACGTTAAATTAGGTGTGTTTTTATACAAATTCAAGGCATTGGATGAAAGATTGGATATCTGTAAGGCTTCAAACAAAAGGGTCGAAGTTGCTACGAAGGCTATTTTTCTGGTAGACTTCGAGCACAAGCAAGCTGCCAGAAAAACAGCCTTCGTAGCAACTTCGAGCCTTTTGTTTGAAGCCTTAAAGATATTCAATCTTTCATCCAATGCCTTGCCTTTGTATAATAAAATACGTGATTTAACGTGGTACAGGCCCCTGGACTTGACTCGTATCCATGTTTCTCAAATTGAGCTCCAAAGTAGGCTTGACAAACACGTTGCCAGACTTAGCCATTTTCAGGAAGTTTCCCAGTTTTGGCATAGCCTTTTGGTCAGGTTCACAAATGGTCTTCTGGATTTTCTATTAATCTCCCAAGTACTTTAGTGTGTAGAGGGGCACTTCAGCTTCAAAACAAGC